AAATAGGGAAACCAAGGAGAAATCAAGGGAATCAAGCGTTTTCACTGAAATTTCTTCCGTTCACTCCGGTAGAATCATAACCCGAGGCATTCTAGCGAAAAATCCCAACTTATAGAGGTAAGATTTCAGATTTTTCACGTGAAATCCTATGGTTTTTGTTTTGGATGAATAGTAACCAATCTCGGAAAACTTTCGTAAAAGTAAAAATCGAAACCGAGGTTTTGTAGAGCACCGTGATAGGAGTCTAACGGTGTAGGTATTAAAACGATTGAACGAGATTTTGGTGGATTTGCACTAAAAATCCGTGAGCCCTAGAATGAGAAAGAACATGTGTTTTTGTTCATTTTTGAGTTAGATTTTGTGTTGAGAGATATGAATCTTGACTCCAAGAATTGAGATCGGAAGTTAGAATGAGCTATTGAAAGCTCGGGTAACGAGAAAAACTAGGCGAAACTCTGCCAAAATTTCCTAAAAACCTAGCTAGTGAGTATTGAGTTATGATTTCAATTCTTGAGAATGAATAATAGTTCTAAGGCCTAGAATTGAGTAAATTGAGGTTCAGAAACTGAGAAACACAAATTGTGGAATTTGCCTCTTAAGCTAGAAATTCGGCTTAGAGGAATAAAGTGCAAAAGTGAGTTTGAGATTTGATTTAAGAATCTAAGTATGAGGAATTTTGATGTTTGGAATAGGAAATTGATACCGATTTCCATGACACAAGTTTTAGCACGAAAACTGAAACAAAAAGGAAGAATTCTCAGCAAGCAAGAATACTAGCAGATTATTTGTAAGTGTAGACATATATGTTTGTCTGTACTTGAGTAAACTGTAGATAGACTTAGAATTATGAATTTGCTTATATTTCTAAGTTGATGTGATGTTAAGTGTTTGAGGGCTTAGTGCCCTAGATTTCAGAAGGGCGACATATAGTTACCCTAATGCTCAGTTTAAGGTATGCATGAAGTATTATGCATCTCATGTTAGCATGTGCATGTAGAGAAAGCGTTGCATAGCATTCAGTAAAGTTTTAACATACTTTGAAATGCAAATCCAGAGGTCAGTAAAGTTAAGAGACTGACAGGTCATCGGCCTCCCAAGGGAGGAAATCTTAAAGAGTTAGAGATTCCGGCTAGACCATGCAGTTAAATAGGGGCCCAGGCCACAGTAATAAGAACAGTTAAACAGGGGCTCAGGCCTATGTAGGATCTAGTTGTGATTTTTAATGAAAAATCATTTGAACAACAACAAACTTGTAGGCGGAATTTCAAAAATTTTAACATATCCATTTAATTCCAAATTAAATGTAAACCACAACGAGAGATACATGCATGATATATGTTTATAGACAAAGGAATAAAATGACAATCATACCTTTGTGACGATTGAATCAAAAATGACCGCAAGGATCTTGTCTCACTATCTCAC